AGGTTTTCCAAATTGTATAGGCGCATTGGATGGAAAACATTTTGTTATTGAAGCCACAGCCAATAGTGGTTCTATATATTTTAATTATAAACACACATTCTCAATTGTTTTATTGGCGTTAGTGGACGCATGCTACAAATTTATTGCAGTTGATGTTGGCGCTTACGGACGAAACAGTGATGGTGGCATTTTTGCACAATGTAATCTTGGAAAACGTTTAGAAAATGGGACGCTTCATGTACCTATTGGTAAAAATTTACCCGGTTCCTCTACGTTTGCACCATATGTAATAGTTGGTGATGAAGCGTTTCCTTTGAAAACATACCTAATGCGACCGTATCCAGGACACCAAGCAACAGGTGACGCTAATAAAACGAATTTCAATCATAGACTGTCTTTGGCCCGGCGACTAGTCGAAAATGCCTTTGGTATTTTGACACAAAGATTTAGAATATTTCAAAGAAGAATGAAACTTGCTCCAGAAAATGTTGATTACATTATTCTATCTACATGCGTACTGCATAATTTTTTATGCGAACAAAAAGATTACACAGGGCTTATCAATCATAGTGCACAAAATGCGCAACCACATTTATTAAATCCATTGAGCGTTCAACCAGGAAGACCGGCTAATGATGCATTTGCGGTAAGAGAAACGTTTAAAGAATATTTAGCGTCAACAGCGGGACGTAATTTTATAGGACAACAGTATCAAGAATAAATACATACTTACACTATAATATACTTCTTATAATTTACCTAACATATTCAAAATACCTACTAAAAACCGATAATTCCACTCACATGTACTTACATGTTATCGTAAAGTAATTAGTGACACTTGAATAACTATTATAAATGTAAATTGAAATAAAAGTTACAACTTACCAGATTGTTTTATTTCGTCCGAAATGGTTTTCCAAATAATATTTTTGTATTTGTTATCTAAATACTTAGGATGGCTCATATCGTAAATCACAGGGTACTTGCGCACACATTCTAATAATTTTTCATCGTCCATTTTGCTGTTGAGCTGCTCACTTCACTAAGATTTGACGTTGACTGCTCTCCGGGCGCCCGGGCGCATATGTTCATGTTACAACGTGTCGGGGCCGGACCGTGCCGGAGCCGGGAAACAATACCTACCGACATTTCAACGCCGTGCCCCGGCCGAGTCCCGGCGGCGTACGGCCGGGGCACGGCCGGGCCACGGTCAGGCATGAATCGCTTCATACAAAAAGTACACCATAATGTTTGACCGTGCCCCGGCCGGGGCACGGCCCGGCCGCGCCACGTTGTAGCGTGAATCAGCCTTAAAAGAGCATCTTAACGCTGCTACGTTTCGTATGGTGAGTGTAGAGAACCGGAGACCCTTTTTACTGGAAATGAGGCATTCCATCTTAGTCCTCACGGGTGACAACGCATCTGCATTTTGATTCGTAATCGAAGATAGATGTAAATGTCTATGGGCAACAACATCCGCTTTCATCAGGTGAACTGTGTGCTCGTTTGTCACCCTTATCCTATAAAAAAAAAGAAGTGAATATAATTGATGTATATAGAAAATTATGATTTCTTATATTTACGCGAACAGTACACATTTTTAAATAAACTAATTTTACGGATTTTATCGCGTATATTAACTTATTTTTATATTCCCGACGTTTCGGGTGCTTTCCAGCACCCGTGGTCACGGGGGACTGAGGTGTTTGACGTCCTGCTGTCATAGTTAGCCCGGCTACCTTCAGTTTTTTAATATTAATTTTTGGTTCGATTTACGCAGAATGAGCTTACAGTATCTTGAAGTCTAGCAGTGGTATACTTGGGTTTGGATTTGATTTTATTAATTATGGGATCCCAAGCAGATGGCAGTACCCATCCATCTTCTCTATTGATTCTAATTTCAATAGAGAAGATGGATGGGTGCTGCCAATCTCACCATCATCCTTCACAGTTAGCTACCGTGGGAAAATCTTTATTTCAGAGAGCACGAGGAATCTGTGACAGAAAACATCTGGCCGCCGAGCTTCAGCACGTCGAGCAAGTACTGCAAGACAACAAGTAGCCGGGCTAACTATGACAGCAGGACGTCAAACACCTCAGTCCCCCGTGACCACGGGTGCTGGAAAGCAACCGAAACGTCGGGAATATAAAAATAAGTTAATATACGCGATAAAATCCGTAAAATTAGTTTTATTTAAAAATGTATAGAAAATTATTTTAGGTAGTTTATTTATTAATAATTATTTAAGTTGGCGATTTTCCTTCATACTTAACTAGGACTAGGACTAGCAGAAAAGTTTTAAAACTAATATACAAAATACACACAATTATTACAAATAAGTGCATACACGCAACGTCCAAAATTAATAATTTTACAGATAATTTCATAGTGAACGGCACACGTCACTAAGGTCAAGTGCATAATTACCGTGTTTACACCCTTGCCAATTCTCGTCAAGCATCCACAAGCACAAGCGTGTAAAGAGGGTTTGGCTTGGCTTGCGTGAGCTTGTGGACGCTTGTCCCCGATCCGGTCTAGTGTCGGTTTTTGGACACAGATCAAACGACGCTTGCAGCAAGCGCTTGCAACGCTTTCACACGTTGGTGCGCGTTTAGTAGAAATTGTGATTTTGCAACGAGCGCATGTTTAGTTCTTTGTTTGAAATGAGTGGCTGGTCGAACGAAGAAAGTTTATCGTTTCTGGAATGTTACCAGAGCGAATCGTCTTTTTTTTCTTTTTTTATAAGATAAGGGTGACAAACGAACACACAGTCCACCTGATGGTAAGTGGTTGCTGTGGCCCATAGACATCTACATTTGTCCTCGATTACGAATCAAAATGCAGATGCGTTGTCACCCGTGAGGACTAAGATGGAATGCCTCGTTTCCAGTAAAAAGGGTCTCCGGAAATCTGGAACCGCAAAGACGTTAATCATAAAAATAAAAAGAAAGTTGCAGATGCTTGGAGTCGTCTTGCCGAGTTAACGGAAAAGCCAGTAAAAGAATTAAAAGCCAAAAAATACCTTGTTTTTGTATTACTTTCCTTGTATTTCAAATTAAAGTATGTTAAACCAAACGCAATAGCCGACACAAGTTTGGTGTCCGCCATGCTTGGGTATACGTAGCACACTGACGCATTCACAAGCATGAAAACGACTTCCAAATGCCAAACGAGATTTGTGGACGCTCGGGGCTTGAAGACGTTTGCCAAGGCTTGGCAAGCATGGAAAGGCATCATTAACTTTCCATCCAAAACATAAACAAAAAGTTGTCTAAACCAAAAATAATGTGGTCATGGTCATACAAATCGAAGTCTTGTGTCTAATGTCCTAAAGATAATTTAAATTTGACAACTCTCACAACTACACAACCTTAAAAATGTAGCAATTTTAACCATTTCCAATTCGACCTTACTGTTAACGATCTTATAATAATATTTCACTGCACTGTTGTGTGATAACTACCAAAACATCGCAACAAAATCCATATTCGCTTAATCTCTTTCTAAACGTATTTATAATACCGTCGCAAGAAAGAGAAACAACGAATATCAGCGAAGAAAATTGGTTAGTTCGTGTTCGTGGGCTGTGTTGGCATATGGTTCCAGTTTGCGTTTTACGTTTACGTTTCGTACGTTGGTTTGTTGGTTTTGGTTCCATATGTGATAACGTTTATGTACTTAGATTTATCGATATGATATGATATTTGATAACATAACGTTATTAGTTACGTTTTGATATATCGGTCTATGCCTATAGACCACAAATTATAAAGTTGTATGTACAGGAACTGTGACATTGACATATTACCTATTGCATATAGCATACCTATACGTTATTCGCGATATATAAGGCACAATAATATTCTCCATGGTCCCAGAAGGGTCTCCAAAGGTACAATGCAGGGGGCTACATTATCTCCATTGTTGTACAATATATATACTAGTCAAATTCTTAATTTTGTAAATACAGAAGGTGTAAATATTTTACAATTTGCAGATGATCTTGTAATATATTGTACTGACCATAATGTAGATAGAGCTGTAAATAGTATAAATAATGCTTTAGATCAATTGTACATGTATTATAATGACAAGTTGGCTCTACAGATTAACCCCAACAAAAGCAAGGCCATGATTTTTAGTAAAGATTTTCCCTCTAATTAATCATCCAATTTCAGTTGTATCTAACCCTAAATTCCTGGGTGTTGTCATTGATAGTCAGCAGACTTCAGGAGGTGAGCTTTTACAAGGTTATTTCCCAGTTCTGCCTCTCATTGTACAGCAAATGAATGAAGATTTTAAAAAAGTAATTAAACAATCAAAGTGGTCATGCTACACATACCCATATTCCTGTATTATATTTGAGATCAATATTGTTACCAAAAATTTTTTTAATAATTGTGAATTATAATAATTTTGTAAAAATATTATAATGTTAATTCATTCGAAAATAACTACATAAGTAAGTTCGTAACATAAAGCTAAGTAAGCGCATCTACGGAAACGGAAACTAGTAATTACTCTGTAATCTCATGAAATACTTGACACTGGCAGAATCCATTGCACAAACCACAAATTATAAAGTTGTATGTACAAGCGCACAAACTTCCTGTATAGGACTGTTACTATACTCTTTGGCACAAACTATATAGAAGCCACAGAGTACATTATATATAGGGGAATAGAAAATAGAAACACTACGCGTTATCCAGCGTTATCCATTGATTCCATTGGAAGTTGCCAAACTAGCACAGAGTACATTGTATATACACAAACTAGGAAAAAAAAAGAAAGAAAGAAGATTTCCTGTATTGCACAATTACTATACTCTTTGAAGAAGATTATAAAGTAAATAAAAACCCAGTTTAAAAAAAAAGTAAATAAAAACCTAATGAAGAAAACATTTTTCAGAGACTCCTCAAGATTTTCAGTATTAAAACTAGATACCACAAAATAATAAATGCCATTTAACTAAACTGACTCTTTCCAGATAACAATGTTACGGAATTTTATTGTTAGATTTGCTTCTCGAAATAATCCAATCCTTCCATGTTCGAGATTATACGCAACTAATAAACAAAAAATTGAAAAGGAACCAAAGCTATCAGCAGATGTAATAAACTATTTAGAAAATGACTCGCAGTATAAACGTTTGATAGAGAAGTTACCGAAATCTCTTTTGAGAAAATACAAAACCCCTGAGAGTATGTATCTAATAAATAAAAAAACTGCCAAAGAAATAGCTAAATCTATTGCAAGCTATTTGGATGAAGATTCACCTTTAGTTGAGGTTAATCCTGGATTTGGACTGTTAAGTGAAGAGTTACTGAAATGTCACACTAAGCACCTTTATTTGTATGAAACATCGACTCATTTTTCTGAACATTTTCAGGTAATTGTAATTTTTATTATTTGATACTCTTAAAAATTCTCATCAATCATGGGCCTATTCAATAAATACTTGAAATAAATTTTTAGTGATAAACTATTTGTGGATACTAGCTGATAACCGCTCGCTTCGCTGGACGCATGAAATAAGACGATTTTTTTTCTAATAATAATTTTATTTCAATAAAATGTACAATTAATTCAAATATCTTAATTTAAAACAGTCTACTATAACAGGCATCTGAACTAGGATAAACCTGTATCTCAGGTGTATGTGCTAATAGATACATTTAGAAATATTTTCTGTTTCTTATATAAAATAACATACCATTTAATTAGGGTTAATTTGGTAAAATATATTATCATTAATTTACTTATGATTTTAATTAACTTAAAACAATCGGCAACTTTTCTGTATCATCATATGAACTGATTTCAATGAAATTCTGCACACTCTGTGTAACTTGGTCCAAATTGAGAGATAGGATAGTTTTTATCCTGATAAGTGACACTCAATATTTTTTTTATTATGAATACAAGGACTTTTTTACATGAAGGGTCGTCAAAAAGGCCAGAACAACGTCTGCCTGGTCAGCTAGTATTGCAATGGCTGTTACAATGTCTTATAGCTGTTCAACTATCCAAGTTTAGTGAGTGCGGTTGGTTTGTTCTGCAGGGGGGGGGGGGGGGGTAATATCAATGTCAACGGCTTTAGGAATAGCTTCTTTGCATAAGCCTAAGATTTTAGCTTCTTCATTACCCTCTAAATCTAAACCAATGTGCAAAGAAATTCATTCTAAATGTACTTTCTATTACCTGAGGGCTTCTAGTTTGTTACTGGTAAGCCACGAAAAACTAAAAGTACACAGAGTAAGATGTTGAAATGCTCCTTATAATTTATTCTATGTAGATAAAGTATCATAGATTGCCACAAGCTCTGCTTTCATAATTAAGATATTAACATTGATTTTTAACTTTATTACCATATTGTTCAGTAAATCGTAAAATGAAGCCTCAATTCTGAAATTATCTTTCGAACCATCTCTCATCTCTTATCTTCCACTATACGTTTGGATAATTAATATCAATGTTTTTCAAGGGTAATTCATTTTTGAGATTCATCCTATATTCTTTATAATTAATTTGGGATTTATTATAAAGAATATATTAATTTGGGAAAGAATTGAAGTTTTCGAAGATTATTGTGACTTTGTAAGATGAGGTTTTTTCTTATTTTGCATGATATCAGATAGGTAAGAGATAAGATCAACGGAGGAGTTAGTTAACACTGATTTAATTTTTAACCAAGCCTAGCCTGCAAGGTAATGTCTTCTTACATGCAATGGGCATAAACTGAGATTGCTTTCCATTATATGAATAAGGGTACTATAGTTTCATGAATTGCTTTTGATTTTTTTCTTGTAGAAATTAGTTTTAAAAAATTGATTAAGGTTTCAGTACTTTCAAAGTAGTACAAACAACATCTACATGAAGTATTTGGAGATAGTCGGCAGTTAGCAATCCCTGTGTAAATCGAAGCTCTGTTGATACCACCAGGTTCCAAGTGGTAAGAGATAAAATAGTTTTAAACTTTTTGAAGTTCACATAGGTGCGGTTGTACATGTGTGCAAAGTTACGCTTATGCCGTACTTCATAAAAGGTATATAGATAGAGTAGATTTTAGTGATAGTTAGCTTTTACTGCTTATTAGTGGATAGAGGCAGCCAATGACTAGTTTGGCTTGATTTAGCACTACATTAATGTTTCGCGATGTTGATTTTGAGTGTTGATTCAGATGTTGGTGCTCAGGGAGTTGGGCGTAAGTGTTGTGTGATCGTATTTTTTTATTCTCGGATGATTTTCGTTCGATGGTTGAGTAGGATTCCATTTCAAGTATATAGCTATACTTTTCTCAGGAATCACTTCGATTCTCAATAAGTGAAACCATTCGCATAGGCGATCGGTGGCACTTTGGGAGGTTTTTTTGGTGAAAGTTTTCTTACTATTTTCGGGTACGTATCGTCAGCAAAGAGTGCAGTTTGGTCACTGTTTGGTGTTTTGGAATATAACTTGTGTTGAGTGTAAAAGGGTGGGGAGAGGACGGCGGAGCCTTGAGGGACACCGGTCTTTAAGGAACGCTTCGTAAAGGTTCGCTCTACTCAATAGCAAAAGGAGCGGATTCATGATGAAGAGTCCGATGATCTGCACGAGCCTATCGGGCACATTGAGTTTAACATCTTATTACTAAGCAAGGCGTCGTGCCAGATTTTGTCAAACGCTTTTGCGTCATAAAAGAAGAAGAGAGAGAATACTCAAATATTTCGATACTTTTTCTTAGTGGGATGATAAAGCCTGACAGAGGCGGCACTGGTTATAATATTTTGACTTATTGTAGGGAAACGTAGTAATAGTAGGAAAATAAAGAATACATTAAACTACAGTACAATGGTTTAATTTCCTTAAATATTACAATTTAATGAGTTTTTGCTTCATGATGTAATCGTATTTTTGTATACTGATTTATTATGACTCAAATTAATAAGATTGTGTGATTGAATAATTGTTCCGGGTCTGGATGTTTGTCCTTGTGCAATTTATGTTTGTAAACTGCCTCCACGACACAGGAGAAAATCCTAGTGTGGGGGTAACGTTTTTTTTAAATAAAATAAAAAAAAATTGAATGTATAATAAAGTACTAACTCAGACCAACAAAGAAAGATAAACGGAGTATATTTCACGTGATGTGAAATCATGCACTTACACAAAAATATTATGTATCTAAAATCATTTGCAAACAATAACATGGTTTTAGGTGGTTGGACTTTTATGGGCTCTTAATGAAAGGAAGAAAGATGTGTGTGTGAGTGTGTATGAAGTTCAGCATGGTTTCAGTGTTTCAAAAATTGGCATATTTTTACTTCAATTTTCTATGTAATTTAACAACTTTGTCCTGTGGGTTATCATAAGGTTCAACTATGGAAAATGCCAGAAACTATTTATGACTTCTGATAAATGGCGATATTTGTTTACAGCCATCTCGTACTCGACAGACTTAAAATACCCAGTTTGTGGACCGAGAGCCTCAAAGTTCAAAGGCCCGAGACATACTGTAATGTTTCATTCGCCAGCCGTAATAACTAATGCCGTAACAAGAGCCGTGGTAGCTCAGTAAGAGCCGTGGTAGCTCAGATGGTTAGCACTCGCTGTAAATTTCACAGTACGCGAGCAACCCGGGTTCGATCCCCGCCGGATGTTAATCGCAATTTTAAGTGCTACTTTATCACGTGTTCGGCGGTGAAGGAAAACGTGACGAAACCGGCATGTCTGAGAAATAAGAAAAATATTTCAAAGACATGTGAACTTCGTCAACACGCATTGGGGCTGCGCGGCGGGCACTTCCTTGCCCTAAAACCCTCTCAGAAATGAGGGGAGGCCTGTGCCCTGCCGTGCGACGTATATAGGCTGTAACTTTAATAACTAATGCAATTTCTTCCTTACTTATTGCGTCTTAAAATAATTATTGTTTCATTAATCCTTGTCAACTACAGTAAACTGATATTTTTGTCATACTAAGAATAATAAATAATAGTTTAAAAAACCTAAAAACTCGCTGTTATAAATATCCGAACTAAAAAGTAGAATATAATTTAAATATGTTTAAAATTAGAAAATAGTGATTAACATAAAAAAATAATTTTATAGTTCAGATATCTACAAAAGCGTGTTGTGTTTAGAACGAGGTTCTTTCACGCAGCTTACAGTAGATTGAACTGGCAGAAATCGTAGTTGTTTTATGAATTATTTGCAAATCCTGAGGATTCTGGCAAAGATAATGGGACAAAGTATTTATATTATTGCATTGTCATCAGTCTTTGATAAGTGTGTGAAGTTACATATCAATCTGACGTTTTGAAAGGGATGAAAATCAAATTAATAAATTCCGTTACATAGACACATATTACATACCAAGTTAATAAAATCGTGTTAAAAAATAGGCAAGATATTGCTTTTATATTTTATGTACCAGCTTACTTTTTACTTTACAGGCTTTACAAAACAAATTAGGACAAAGGATTACTTATAAAGTAGCAGACTTTTTTGGAATGTGGAAGTTAGCTTTTATGGATAAGATGGATGGCGGAAATAGAATTAAAGAGTTATTAGGTGATCTTGCATCAGGTGATAACAGTAAGTAATTAGACTATTTTTCTATATCGGCCTTTTTAATCTATTTCTAGATATTGGTCTTTTTAATATGGTGCCAACTGTGATGCATTACTTGAAAGGCCTCCTCTAAATAAAGTTTAACTCACTTCTCATAAAGTATTTTTCTGCCGACTTCCAAAAAGGAGACGGTACTCAATTCGACTGTATGTTTTTTTTTTATATGTGTTACCTTATAACTTTTTACTGGGTGAACCGATTTCGATGATTCTTTTTTATATGAAATCTGATACTTCTCATGTGATCCCATATGAATTTGATCAAGGTCAGGCTAATAGCTTTTGAGTTATTCTTAATAACTTATATTGAAGTTGGCTGTACAAAATTTTTAATTTTAAATTATTTTAAACTAACAGTCATCCATAGTCAGTGATACTAAGGCTGAGATCTATAGACACTACTTTGACTTTGCTCAGACTTTACTTACGAAAAACTTAGTTAAGTTTAAGTTTTTCGTAAGTAAAGTCTGAGCAAAGTCAACAAATCAGGCTAAGATTAAGCTAACCTTATGCTTAGGCTCAAACAGTCAAAATATTAATCGATGGTTTATTCTACGCATTATGTTCTTGATATTATTGCATAAAATTAAAATAAATAAATAATCGAAAACGAAAATGGCATTTCATAAATAAGTTATTAATTATTATTATATGAAATAGAAAACGGGCGTATGAAAACGGGAACGGATGAGAAGAGTGCAAAATCAAAAAAAAAGTTTTAAGAAATTCGAAATAAGTTTGTAATTACGTTAATAGAAAATCGATTAATGTTATTTAAAACTAGAAGACTGCCTAAAATTATGTATTTATTGTCATAAATAATTAGAGTAACATAAAAACAACAATTTAAAATGAATACGGTAGTTTCGGAAAATATCCTGAGTTTTACGTAAGTCGTCGATTTCGTTGACTTAGGCTTTGCTAAGCGCGCTCTCAGCACGACTTCGAAGTTAGCTCTATAAATACCGACATTTTCTTAGCTCGAAAGTAAAGTCTGAGCAAAATCGGAGTACGGTCTATAGATCTCAGCCTTACAGCTTGGGTTTTGTGGCCCTATACCAAATTTCCCTACGTTCAGCACACCGTCTTTTCACGTGTCTAGTTTTTTATTGAAGTCTACCATTAACACCATATAAACAACACCAATACCTACGGAACAATGCATGGGTCTAGAGATATCTCATACATCGTCCTCACTTCCTTATCGGGATGTGCAAAGGTTTGTGCGTAAACCTGTATAACCTTTAACAAATAGCGTTGGGTAATCCTGAGTATAAAGCACTCAACCCTTGTCGAAACACTCCCGATCTTAACCGCGTTTTAAATAGTTGCCTCCTGGTGATAGAACAAGTTGCCGGATTCCAGGATTACCGTATTCTCATCCCGACTTCAAGAACTCAAATAATTCTATAATTTCCCTGCATAACTTGTCTATTTCTTCTTCCAGCTCCAAGATCTTCTCGTTAGTCCTCAGGGTACGTGAGTTAAAAGTCGTCAGGGCAAGTCGTCGAAGGTGACATCCAAACCTCCGTCGGAAATTCTTAGTACCCCCTGACCCACTGTTACCACGGTCGTGAAACGCCCGAGCCAGCAATAGTGGAGCCGCCGGGGACTGGCCCATTTCTTTGTAGCTTTGCTCATGGGATGTTTGCTGTAGTTGCGAGGCTTGCCTGGCGGGTTAGTAACCGCAGTTTTTCATTATTAAGTTATCAGAAGAATACTGTTGCACATCTCTATGCTTAGTTTCCCTCTATCGCGTCTCACGACACCCACGAGATGATATGGAGTTGTGGTTGTATAAAATTTAATTTAAAAGTAAGTTAAATAAAAACCATAAAAGATTAAGTTGCAGCTTAATATTTCCTCGCGTTGTTTTCTTTTCTCTTATTTTTTTTTACTCTTTCGCTGGTCGGCACTATAGTCCTCAGTAAAGCGAGACAGTATTTCATGCCGGCACACCGCTTAGCACTTTAAAAGGCGCAATTTCGGTCCCATATAGAATACTGTTCTGATCTCTGGACTGGGGCACCCCAATGCCTTCCTTCCACTTCGAGTGAACGAGTTCTTTCTTTTCGGTTTGACTTACTGGCGCAGGGAAGAGATGTTACATCGGGTTATTCCGTTTATCCACCCTAAAATATTCACCCTAGGGTGGATACTCGGAAGCGCGTGTTCATCTATCCACCCAGACAGGGTGGATGATCGGAATTTACTTTTATTTTTTTCTTCCAACTTTTTACCCCATGTACAGTTCAACTCATACATTAATTATTAATAACTAGCTGTTCCCCGCGACTTCGGCCGCGTGTAATTTAGGGTTTTAAGTATGTTGCGCTGAACCCTAATTCTTTTGTAAAATATAAGTAGCCTAAGTTACTCCTTATAACATCAGCTATCTGCCAGTGAAAGTCCCGTCGAAATCGGTCCAGCCGTTTCGGAGATTAGCCGGAACAAACAGACAGACAGACAAAAATTTTAAAAATTGCGTTTTGTTATAAGTACTGTATATGTATATACGTTCAAATGCATTTACTAAAAAGCCGATATTTTGACATTTCAAACAGACACTTCAATTTTATTTATTTGTATAGATTTTTTGGTAAACAACAACTGAAACAAAAATCATATTACGTATTGCCGTTATCGTTACCGTTACCGTCACATCTTAGTAAAGTCCACGCATCAATTAGCATTTAAAAAAATTAAACTTCCTCGTTTTAAATAATATTATTACGCAATTTATAAATTTCGAAATATGTCCAGGAAATTACCACCACTTATTTCATTATTGAGTAGACGTAATGTGTAATATCCTGGATAAATTCGTCACTTTTAATGTACATTTGCAAGTGTTTTCTAGATTTCTTTGCTACAACAGATGTTTTAGCGAAAACGAATGTCTTTCACATCATTTTAAATTGTTTTATGTCAAGAATCCAATGAATTTGTAGTCTTGTGAGATACCCCTTTTATTTCGGCGTTGACCTTTCAAATAAGATGTCTATGCTTTAATAGGTATGCTAATGTCTACTAAGTATCTTGGGCCGGTTTTTATCTTGTTTGTCTAAATGACTGTACACACCCGAGGGAGAAAATCGGAAGAAAAATATCATATATGAATTCCGATTATGCACCCCGTCCGGGGTGGATAGATAGATGAACACGCGTTTACGAGTATCCGTCCTAGGGTGGCTAAACGGAATAATTCGTTGCATCCCTTTGCATATTCTGTCGCATCTACCGCGAATTGTTCGAAATAATTCCGGCCACCAAATTTCATCATCACACATGGCGACAAAATTCGTGATACCAGCTATAACATCTGGATGATTGGCGATCCACCACTGTGGGATCTACCAAAATTTTTCTTCCTCGCACAACTTATTTGTGGAATCGTTTATCACTAGCGATTTTTCTAGACATATACGAATTAGGAACCTTCAAGAAAAGTGCCTACTCCTTTTTAAAAGGCCGGCAACTCACCTGCAATTCGTGTGGTGTTGCATTTTACACTGTTACAATCAGTTGAGCCGCATTCTCTTTTGTTACTTCTTCTATAAAAAGGAAACATTCTACACTAGTTAGTTAGGTAGAGTTGTAGGTAGAAGCTAGTATAGGAATAAAACTAAAATATTTCTATAGAATAGTGTAATTTATGTAGTAAGTAATGATCATAATTTGTTATTTTTCAGGAAGAATAATAAAAATTGTGGGTGCTATGCCAGGATTGTCTTTTGTAAAACATCTTATACAAAATATCGTTTTTCACTATGATACTAACCAGTTAGGAAGGCCTGATCTTTTTATAACGATGCCCAGTCATCATTACGATGTATGTTGTATATAGATATTATGCATTTGTTATTATAGTGAAATGAGTTGCCACCTAAAATATTTTTTGGTTTTGTTTTCAGTTTCTTACAGACAATGGTGTGCTAATGGGTAAGCACAAGTCAATTCCTGCACTATTTCAAATGTTTTTTGACCATAAAATTCTCATAAAAGTCCCCAAAGTACACTATTTACCTTGGACTCATTCTTCGAGTAGCAAAAAAGGATCGCTGGTATGTATATTACAAATATACGTAATATACTAGTTACATATGCCTACCGCGACCTTGCATGCAATCAGCAAGTCATCTACCATACGGCACCGTCTGCTAAGCAAATAGTAGCACGTCTTCAAAGACGCGACTCAATTTACTTACGTGATATAAGAATATTCAACATAGTATAAAACGCAGGATCTAGTTGTTAAGACAGCCCAGTAGTAACTGCGTTAGTTTGTAAGTTAGGTAGTCCATTATTACTGTGTACATTGTCACAATAGTTGACTTGTAAGTTGGAAAATAATATAGGAAAAAGTCTTCGTCTTCTTCCACTTCAATCCTCCCTAAACTGCCGCAAACGTAAGTTACTTCATATAAAGTTCTTTAATGTTATAATAACATTTGCATTGCAGATAAGCGAGTATTGCATGTACTTAGTCAATATAACTCAGAAGGAAACATTACCATGTCCACCTGAGTATCTTCCACTTTTGTGGTACTTTTTTAAACCTCATACATTTTCAAAATCAACAAGAGTCATCCCTATGTTAGAGTAAGTATTTATGCCTCTCAGTTTAATTTAACTTATTAAGGCTATCCTTGTAAAAACAACATATTTCATATTTTAGGCAATGGATTCCAGGTTGCGGTGTTTGGCTAATCACGGGACAAGATCCACCGGATTCCAATAAAGCAATATCACCAACCAAAGATGATGCTCCACTGCCACATATGACAATATTTACGGAATTTGGTGACTTAAGTCTTAAGCAAAAAATTACCGTATTTAAAAAGTAAGTTTCAGTAAATTCTGTTTGAATATTACATGTAGTATTGAAATGAAAAACGAGGATAGATGTAGATGTCTATGGGCCGCAGCAACCACTTACCATCAGGTGGACTGTGTGCTCGTTTGTCACCCTTATCCTATAAAAAAAAATAGTGAGTAATTTAAAATATTTAAAAAGTAAAAGTAAAGTTGCAGCCTATTTACATCCCACTGCTGGTCACAGGCCTCCTCTCATTTCTGAGAGGGTTTTAGGGCAAGGAAACGTCCGCCGCGCTGCCCCAATGCGTGTTGGCGAACTTCACATGTCTTTGAAATATTTTTTTTCTTATTTCTCAGACATGCAGGTTTCCTCACGATGTTTTCCTTCACCGCCGAGCACGTGGTAAATCAGCACTTGAAATTGCAATTAACAATTTCATTGGTGCCGGCGTTATCGAACCCGGGTTGCTCGCGTACTGTGAAGCTTACAGCGAGCACTAACCATCTGAGCTACCACGGTTAAAAATTAATTTGATGTTTATTAATCATCATTATGCCCGAAAAGTCCACTGCTGAACATGCCAACACAGATTACCTATTTACCAAGTTTGGCAGGCGGATTGGCAACCAATTTATTTATTTCGAGTTAACCAGGAAGATGTATTGCTGCCCAACTCCAGTTTCATCAATAATAATCTATTATTTAAAATTCTTTAATTTCAGATTTGTATCATGGCCAGAATTTGAACAATGCCCTTTCAGAGTCACAATGGAAAATAACCTACCAAAATCATTCACACAAATTGAAGATGAGGAAAAAGCAAGAATAGGGACTCATATTGACGACTTGGACCATTCAGACTCCGAAATTGATTCTGATAAATAAGCAATAAAACTTTGTATTTTGAAACTATACTAGAAGTTTATTTTGATATATACATTTGAAAAACCAAACACAGGGTTTATACATAGTTTCTTTTGTTTTATATGTGTTATGGTTATTGGAACGAAGTTCCTTATCGGACGGTACGAACTTGGCAATTGGAGGGGGGGGGGGGGCTAGGCGAAAAAATGTGGAATATTTTTTCGTCACACCCTTTCTATAGTGTAGACGGCCTTTGGAGCTATAATGAAGCGAGATGGAATAATATCAATCTCCCTCGCCATGAAAGTAATATTATTTTAAAGAAGCTTCATTTTAATAGACGCTAGTAATTCATTTATTTGTATTTGTTAATCAATAATATAATACGTTTATCAACAATAATATACTACCGGTCCACGACACTCACGCATATTTTTTAGGAATTTATTTATTTAAATTAGGAATACTGTTCTGTGACTTGAGAGCTTGATCTCGTGAATGATTAAGTCACATAGACCGAAGTTTAGAATATCATTCATCACGTTTCGTTTTTGCTATATGGTGAGATTTATTGAATATTTTTATTTTGATAAAACTTAAATAAATAGGGCTGTATCACGTTATAAAGTCGAAAACCTTAAATTGTTAAAACTATTATGTATGTATTCTTAAATACGAACTAAATGTTTACTACTGAATTCAATATGTACAAATAACCTAACGCATTAAAGCGACGACAGCGCCAGTGTCAAATATAAAACTGACGTATCATTTTTGACACAAGAAAACATCTTTATTTGACTTTGATCTCTCGGGAAATTTAATTTACACAAAAATTAGAATACAACGCTAGTCCATACGCATCTAGCCAGGTGCGTAATTATAGTACTACAAATATCACTTTTTAAACCAACATAATCTGAATTTCCATAGCAGCATGTGCCTAGCCATGACATTTGTTTTACCTTACAAATCGTACAAATACTGGATGCCCTAATTATCTACTTTGAAATTTAATACATTAAATTAATTTAAATAATGAAATAAATTATACCTACTTAAATAAACATACAGTATGTACATATCTGAAATGATGCTGTGGCAAAAAACTTTAAAGTTATAGGACGGCTATTTCTGGTGAAATTGGAAGACCTCTGTTACTGTATTTCAGCAATGAGTCTTTTAATAATTTTTTAATAGGTGAACTGTACTTGTTGTACGTATGTTGCAAGACGCTTGAATGAACCTTCCGCACTCTTGTTCACTCTGATACAAATCACACGATTTGTATGAGAAAATTAAGGACTATTTCACACACTATGTAAAATTGCGAGCGCAACCTCAAAGGTTTTTTAATATACGAGAATGTTGGTATAGATACGTTTGATTATACATAGAAAATTGTCTTATAAAAAATTCTACATTTATTTCGGATGACGTCATTACAACGCGCGCGGTTAGCTCAAAGGGGTTTGAAATCCCCGCTACACTTGTACGAACGAGATATGGGTTGATTTGCCCGCGCACTACCCGCTCCAACCGGCACACGCCCGCGTACCCACTATGGACACTCAAATGAAGACTGTATGATTGAGTACGTCGCGTCGCACCCGGCCCGCGCTCGCGTTTGCAGTCTGGCCAAGCACTTAGTCACGCTGACCGTCGGCGCTGGTCGTTGAATATGAATCATTCAAATGTACCTAGCGTTTTATTGTTATACCTACTAATTATTTAGCGCTGAGTACCGACAGCGAGAGCGCTGATATGGGAATGCGCGTCTTCGTCGCTGAACCGCACCTATAATATTAAGCACTGTCTATTTGAGTTGCGTGAAGCGTTCCATCTCAGTACTCAGATGTACAAACAATCCGTAGCCTTCTTTGTTTAAAATTGGCTGCGTATGTCTATGGACTGCTGTAGCCACTTGCTATCAGGTGGGTTGTAAGTTCGTTTGTCACTTCAATTTTATATAATTTTCCTTAAATCGTGATATTGACACCTAGCGTGTCATTGATGAAGTTCGATTGGGAAAATGTTTATCGGATTCCTCTGACAAATTGTATAAGAAATAAATATGTACGTGTGTTACGATATTGATGATTATGCCTGAAGAATTAATGTCGATAACTGTACTTGGCAGTGACCAGCTCGAAACTGGAACGACTTTTGCTGTTAGAATTGCGGCGAACAACTGCACGCCGATTAGTCCGCATCGACAGTCAGCGTGACTGTAAAAATAACTAACGGTTCTTACGAGTTTGCAATCTCGAGCAAACTCCTTTAGATGAGGAGTCGATTTATAGCCGGACCACCCCTGCCGATCCATCCAAAGCCCAAGAAGTAACTCACTTCAGAATAATGGCGGCTCTTCACGTTGGCCAACATAGTGGCGAATGTGTTGGCCAATACCAATGGCCATCGTGTAGAGCGGGTGTTTATGCTTACGTTGGTATGTATTGGAATGATGGCCCATAAGTTGGCGCGAGATCCGTGTGGTGTCGGTTTTTTTTTTGCAAAAGATCAAAGGGTTGTGGCAGAGTATTGGCCGCCGCGTTCACACGTTGGGCGCACATTTAGTTTGCTACGAGCTCCCAGAGTGATCGCACGCACCCGATTTAAATTTTATATTCACGCATCGTAACTAGTGTCAACGAAATGGCAGTAACAATGACCAATGAAGAAGCTTTTCGCTTTATACAGCTCTACCAAGCCGAAAATTGTTTGTGGAACAGAAGAAATAAAATTTCTTTCGGCTCTTCACGTTGACCAACATAGTAGCGAATGTGTTGGCAAAAATATTAGTCATGTGCGTGCGATCACTTTGGGAGCTCGTAGCAAACTAAATGTGCGCCCATATGGACGCGATGGCCAATACTCTGCCACAACCCTTTGATGTTTTGTAAAAAAACCGACACCACACGGATCTCGGCACGAGATCCGTGTGGTGTCGATTTTTAACCTATAATATAGGCCATTATTCCAATACATACCAACGTTAGCATAAAACCCGCTCTACACGATGGCCATTGTAAACGAAATAACTTGGTTTTATGCCTACGACAACATTGCAGCACGAAAGTGGGTGTTGGCCTATTGATTTTATTAACGTAGCCAGCAGACTCAGGAAAATATATTGATAATTAAAAAAAAAACAAATAAAAATAACTTGCATATAGTTGTTTCTTTTATAATTTTATAAAATCTGTGTAATGTACGAAATGAGGCATCGGACAAGTAGTTTACATACTATCAATATACAGCTACATTAACTAATAATAGTTCGGAGCTTATAGCTTATGTAAATACATTTAAATTCAGAACTACATATTAGTTAAATATATGGAATCAAATATTGAACCAATAGGTATAGTGGGTTCTCATGTCGCACTTTTATTTTTCATAATTGTATATAAGTGGTGTTACTTACTAAACAAATTTGCAAAGGCATAAAATTGGTTTCCGTCAAAATATATTCAAATACTTAAAATCAATAAATAAATAGTTATGTAGTTAAAACATATCACCAATACACAAACGAAAGGGCTGGTAACTGTGGGTAAAATAATAATACTATGATAATTTACATTATATTCAACATTGTGATGATGTTTAAGGCTACATATTTTTACATTTTTATACATTATTAGCATTATATACAGACATCACTTTACAAAACTCATTTACTAAATATTACAAATATTGCTTTCTCGATATCAACTGAGTGAATATCAATAATTATTATTTCCATTATTTTAATATCGTATGCGCGTTTTTGTAATACTGCCTAATGTTAAAGTTGAGATGTGCATGGTCAGTGTATGCGCTAGTTATATATTATGTGGTGCAAGGAAATAACCATTCGGGCGTCTTGTTAATTTAATTATTATTATTATGTATTATATAATTCTTAAGGAAAAACTTTATAAATAAACTAGTTGAAAAATTACCCTTTTCATCGTTATTTATTTTCCTCGTGCATTAAAACAGACTACAAATAGGTGAGCTGGGAAATAATGCAAACAATATAAAATTAAATTTTTGGGATCATAGTATTTTAATATGATCAATACAAATCGTTTATGTACAAATAACGCACCTACGAAGTTTTATCTATCAAGATATTATGATCTGAAACTTTGTATGTTTATACACGGAATATGTGAAATAAAATCTTTTTACATTTAATTGATATTATAAGATAATACCTCTATTCACTTTACATTACGATATAAATATTAAAACTAAGACCATCACCCTATTTACATAATACTTATATTTCTATTTTAAGTACATATCTTATGTGTAGAATGTATTAGTGATCGCCGACGTTATAAATTTTGGAAATGTTTGTCATTATATGTCTTACGATTTGATTTAGGTGTTATGTAATTTAATGTTGGAATGTCTAGAGATATTTGATTGCTTTTTGTATTCAGTTTGTTTACATTAGTAGATTTTTGCATACTTAAATTAGTATGAACATTTAGACTAATTGTATTTAAACCATTTTGAGGTTTCACACTTGGACTTGATACAAATTCTGTCCATTCGTCTTCATCGCCAAAAACTGGCAGTTTTTTTGGTGCTGGTATTTGTTGCTTAGGTTTACTTGAAACAAACTCGCCCCATATGTCGTCATCTAATATTTCCTTGCGAACAGAACTCTTTTCGTTATGAGCAGGTGAGTTAGTTTTGCTTTGACTACTGGTACTCAAATCGCTTTTTAAAGATGGAAGTGTTTCAACGGGATTGAATCTAGAAAGATCTTGCAAATCTATTCCTGGGTTTGGCCAATTAATTTGTGAATAGCTTTCTAATGATAAAGGTTGTAAGATCTGGACTGTATTATTTTGATTTCGCGTTGTATTGTTGGAGCACGCAGGCAAAGGTTGCAAAATATTTGGGGTCTTCACAGGATGAATTGGTGAATTTGTAACAAATCCATCTTGAACACTCAAAACGTTACAACTCTCTGGTGTAAAGTGTAACGCATCTTTTGCGGAAATGTCGCTAGACTTTGTTGTTCTTACCTCAATTGTATTATTATGTTTACTTAATTCAGAAAAGGCAGTATCAAAGTCTGTTGTTTTGCTTGTTGAAGGTGAACATGGTGCTTCATTATTACTTCGGAGCGGGGGCGGGGCAGATTGAAATAATTCAAAATCGTCATCATAACTAACGGCATTAACATTCAATTCCTTATTAACATTAAAAGTGGTTTCATTACTAACGGCATCAAAAGTCGATGTTTTATTAGAATGATTAACAATATTTGAATCTACAGTTATTACATCAGATTTGTTTTCGTGAATATCTGCAACTGTAACATTGTTTTTATTTCCATCCCATGGCGTGCTTGATACAAAATCTGAGAAATCGTTAAATGTTTCTTTAACTTCACCGGGATCTGGCCAATTTAGAGTTGGCGCAATTGGTTCAACTTTAATAGGTTGTAATAAGTGTGGTTGATAAGGCACACTGACACTTTGTAGTAGATTATTTCTATCCAATTCTGTGTTCGATTTTTCAACTACTGATTGTGTCGGCGATTTAATGGTTTCAGTTGTACTTTTAAAATCTTGAAATTCCCAATAATCATTATCATCTTCCAACTTGTTTACAATTTCATTAGGAAGTGACTGCGAATTTAATACTGTTGTAGTAGTCTTATTGTTGCTTACATTGGATTCCGGAAATAAAATGGGGGGACCGCTGTCATAATGTATTGTTTTAGATCTGGGCGTTTCAGAGTCTGATGGTGTAAAAATGTGTGTATCTGGTAAGTTAATTTGGCGTAAAGTTTGAATATTTAGGGATGTTGGATAAACTTTGTCCAATTTCGTTGACATAACTTTCTCAAATACTTCCAAATCAGTAGATGTCTTTTCAGGTGTAGTACTTTCATTTTCATTGCTGCATGCTGAAACATATTTAATTTTTAGTACAGATGTAATGATGATTTCGCATAAGATTATATTCAAAATAGATTATTTAGAAAGACAATAAATAACCAATACCAACATAGTTTTAGATACATAATATAAGCACAGAACGTGCCCTGATGTGTGAAAAAGTATTATCGTTTGAAGTACATTTTAATGCAATGTGTTTGTCCAGCTGTTGCAATGGCTTTTGGGCCTTGACCTACTACTAATAATTCTTTAAACATATTTTTTAGATCACCAACAACTATAAAGCGATTTTCAAAGGTGAGTATAATATATTGAATGGACTGAACTTCTTAATTTAAAGTTTGCTTGAAGACATAATATACGCTCGTCGCAAATTTCTTAGTATATCAGTAATGATCAATCCTTGCCGGCACCACTCAAACTTTATTTACAATCATAGCACTGTTTTACAACGTGTTCATCGGTGAAGGTAAATTTCGTGAGAAAACTTGCATGTCTAAAAATTAAATTATTATTAAGGACATGTAAGTCCCCAAGGCGAAGCAACATGGCAGACTGATTTCTCTATAACCATATTAGAAACGAGATGAAGCATTTACACATCAATTTAACTGTACCTTTATACATAAAGTCGTAAACAGTATTTTTATTTGTGTTTATCTGTGCGTTTGTACATACCAAACCTCAATGACAAACCAATTTGGATGTGGAAGAAACTGCTTATGACAACTAAAAGAAAAATCTAAACAGACGTCAACCAATTTTAGTAAATCTCACGTATAGATTCAATGGGTAACATGTTAGGCTGAGACATAAAGGCCCCATGTTTATGTGGGACTAATAACAAAATAATGTGCCAACTTTTTTTTTTATAGGATAGGGTGACAAACGAGCACAAAGTCCACCTGATAGTAAGTGGTTGCTGTGGCTCATAGACATCTACATTTATCTTCGTTTGCGAATCAAAATGCAGATGCGTTGACACCCGTGAGGACTAAGATAGAATGCCTCTTTTCCAGTAAAAAGGGACTCCGGTTCACTACACTCACCATACCTCTGTGAGTGCAGGTGGCCGGAGGCCCAATCCCTCCCCCCCCATCAACATGGTAGTAGAATTAAATAAAAGACTACCCCAGGAGGGTACCAGCACCCCTGGAGAATCCCTCGCTGAGCATCCACGACCAAACTACTTCACTCCAAAGCGTGGGTGCTCAGATTGCCGCGCGTATTCTGGGGGGGGGAGGGAGCAAAATTCCGCTCGCGACTAATGCTGCTCGGGGCAAGCGGAGCAATACAACCAAGGCGACCCCTGTCACGCTATCCGTTATGAATTTTTGCAACATCAGGGGACTTCATTCCAACTTTAACGCTGTCCATTACCATCTAGAGACGGCGAAGCCAGCCTTGCTCTTTTTAACCGAGACTCAGGTGTCCTCTCCGGCTGATACTTCATATCTCTCCTACCCGGGGTACAAGTTGGAACACTGCTTTGTGCCCCGAGCTGGAGTTTGCGTATACGTCAGAGAGGACATCTGTTTTCGACGCCTCGGCAGTCTTGAAGGTACGGACCTGTCCATCCTACGGCTGCGCGTAGACAGCGACGATCATCTCCGCGTCTACGGGTGCCTCTATAGGTCCCATAGCGGTAATGCCGACACAGACCGACTCATCGACCACGTCCAAATGTCTGCAGACTCCGTGCTACAACAGGTCCCATCCGCAGAGATCGTGATACTCGGTGATTTTAACGCCCACCACGCTGAATGGCTTGGTTCTCGTTTAACCGATCATGCGGGTAGATCTGTCTATGACTTTGCTTTGGCATATGGTCTAACACAACTGGTTACTTCGCCTACGCGGATCCCAGATGTGGAAGACCATGTACCTTCCCTGTTGGACCTTCCGCTGACCTCTCATCCGGACGGATATCAGGTCTCCGTCGATGCCCCTCTGGGCTCTTCGGACCATTGTCTGATCCGGAGTACGATGCCACTCACGCTCCAATCGCAGTTGCGATCTGCAGCTTGCCGCCGTGTTTGGCACTATAGGTCAGCTGATTGGGACGGGATGCGGTCTTTTTTTGCATCCTACCCTTGGGGGCGGGTTTGCTTCTCGCCGGAAGATTCCAGCGATGTTGCCGATTCTGTTGCTGATGTGGTACTTCAGGGTATGGAACTTTTTATTCCATCCTCTGTGGTGCCCATCGGAGGCAGATCCCAGCCATGGTTTGGTCGCTCCTGTAAAATATCATCACGCTATAAGCAGGAGTGCAGGACGCATCAACGTCTCGGGATGTAAACACCAGCGCACTTAAAAAGAAGTATAATTCCGCCTCCAGGTCCTTCAAAAGCGTCATTGCCAAGGCAAGGTCTGAGCACATCGGCTTTCCTTCCTTCGGGAACCCGTGCATTCTGGTCTCTCGCCAAGGTTGTCCAAAGGAGAAAGCCAATCTGTTGAGCTCTCTTTTTGCGTCCAACTCGACTCTAGATGACGGGGGGAACACACCGCCGACCATCCCGCGATGTGAGTGCTCCATGCCGGATGTGCGGTTTACACAGCGCTCGGTTCGCAAAGCACTCTTCTCCCTGGACGTCAGCAAGTCGAGTGGGCCCGATGGAGTCCCTCCCATTGTGCTGAAGACGTGTGCTCCGGAGTTGGCACCGGTTTTAACGCGTCTTTTCCGGTACTCCTACTCCCAAGGCGTAGTCCCAAATTCATGAAAGACAGCTTTGGTCCACCCGATCCCTAAAAAAGGCGACCGCTCAGACCCGTCCAACTACAGGCCTATTGCCATCACCTCCTTGTTCTCCAAAATAATGGAATCCATTATAAACTGCCAGCTCATGAGGTACCTTGAGGATCACCAGCTGATTAGTGACCGCCAGTACGGTTTTCGTCGAGGTCGATCAGCTGGTGATCTTCTAGTCTATCCGACTCATAGATGGGCGGAGGCAGTAGAGTCCAAGGGGGAGGCGTTGGCCGTTAGCTTGGACATAGCGAAGGCCTTCGATCGGGTCTGGCACAAAGCGCTTCTTTCGAAGCTTCCTTCCTATAGGCTTCCCGAGAAATTGAGCAAATGGATCACCAGTTTCCTTGCTGATCGGAGCATCAAGGTCGTAGTAGACGGTGCATGATCTGATTTCAAGCCTATCAACGCTGGTGTTCCACAAGGCTGCGTGCTATCACCAACGCTGTTTCTCCTGCATATCAATGATATGTTGCTAACTGGTAGCATTCATTGCTATGCAGACGACAGCACTGGTGGTGCCTTATATACCGGCCGTGCCAATATTTCTCGGGAAAACGTCGCTGAGTACCGGGACAGACTTGTGTCTGAAGTCGAGTCTTTGCTTAACAAAGTCTCGGATTGGGGCCGACTAAATCTAGTCCAGTTCAATCCCCAGAAGACACAAGTTTGCGCGTTTACCGTTAAAAAGAACTCCTTTGTCGTGTCTCCTCAGTTTCAAGGCACTCCCCTTGCTGCCTCAGCTAGTATCGGAATCCTTGGCGTCGAAATAACGAATAGTGTGCAGTTTCGTGGTCACTTGGAAGACTAAATTGGCCTCTAAAAAGCTTGGCGTGCTCAGCAGAGCGAGACAGTATTTCATGCCGGCTCATCGCTTGCAACTTTACAAAGCGCAAGTTCGGCCCCACATGGAACACTGTTCTCATCTCTGGGCCGGGGCACCCCAGTGCCAGCTCCTTCCACTTGACCGCATCCAGCGCAGAGCGGTTCGAATCGTCGACGACCGGGTTCTTTCTGATCGGCTCGATACATCTCGTTGCATTTCTTTGCGTTATTTATCTCTCACGGGGAGTGCTCTGAGGAATTGTTCGGACTAATTCCAGCCGCTCAATTTCACCATCGCACATCGCGACAAAACTCGCGTTACCATCCATACCATCTGCATGATTGGCGGTCCACCACTGTGTGATTTAGAAGAAGTTTTCTCCCTAGCACAACTTCCTTGTGGAATCAATTACCACCAGTGAATTTTCCGAACCGATACGACTTAGGAACCTTCAAGAAAAGAGTTTACACCTTTATAAAAGGCCGGCAACGCATCTGAAATTCCCCTGGTGTTGCGGTTGTTCAGGGGCGGCAGTAGTCACTTACCATCAGGTGAGCCGCATGCTCGTTTGTCCCCTCTTCTATAAAAAAAAAATACGAAACACAGCAGTGTTAAGCTGATATTTGACGCTGGTATTCTGTGAGAGCGTGGTCCTTCCCCGGTCGAGCCGACCCATTCGTGCTACAACTATATTACCAATATAGCTGCAGCATGGCTCTACCACGTACAAAATCACGTAAAAACTGAGTTACTGCCCTAGAATGTCGTAAAAAAACGATTAATTAATGTCCTAACGGCGTAGTCACCATCTGCATGGAACTAGATTATAGTGCATGAAAGTGTGCGCAAGCACAGATGCACTATCTATTCCCTCATTCTCATAGTCCAATCGACACGACCGGAGAGACATGAGGAGTAAGAACGATGGCTTGACGTATTTTCTAAGGCACGGGAGTAAAATGCCGCTAATCTCTTTAAATCTGGGCGACTACATAGAATTCCTTGACGGAAAATTCAAAAACTAATTTTGAACCCGGTAGCACATGATCAGCAGTCACGTTCACGACCACCATAATGTCCTCCAGACCAAATTTCGATCACGGCGGCCAGTCTTAACGGAGACTAGCCATCGGCGCAGGACAGTTATTCTAGTGCCCAAGAGTATGCACAAGCACAGATGCACTCTCTCTTTCCTGTATAACAACCCGTTACAAGTCCACTGCTGATAATAGGCCTCCGTCAACGACTGCCACAGTTTTGAGCCACGTAAACACAACTGTACAATCAACATCCTGTGTATGATTTACCTGGTCATTTGACCTTCATTTAGTGGGGGGGGGTCACCTCACTCCGCTTATCAGGAGGCTGTCACTCTGGAACCTTTCTTCTCCATATGTTGACGGTTCTTCGAGCTATAGCCGACCCAATGCGCATCC